AACCAGGGACGGAGCCAGGATTTCAATACTGGGGGGCCGAGAATTGGAATGATCAAATGAGGCGCTACATTTTTTTAAAAAAAAAAAAATTCCAAAGTGATACCACATAGCAGGCCGTACCAGAAGTCCAAAAGTTGAATAAAAAAATAAATTTGGGTTATTCATTTAATTATACATATGAGTTTATATTAAAAATAGGGGGTGACATATAGTAATATATATGTATATAAAAAAAAATTAAAATTGTTGGGGGGGCCGTGGCACCCGTAGGTCCCCCCTTGGCTCTGTCCATATTTAAGATTATATTCAATATATTTTATATTTTTTCATACAATCTTGTAATGATGTTGGAGATGAATAAGTTATAATTCTACTAAAAAAAATTATTTAAAAAAGTTAGTTGCTAATTCAGCATAGATCAAACAATTTAAAGTAAACTTTTACACTAAAAATATGGTAATTATGGCCATTATGACAATACTATATAATTAATTCAGTGTCTTGTTATGCTTTTTACAATTACAAGTTATTATTATGTTTTTCTTGATTTACTACTTATTTTATTTGTGAAAGCTTTTCTGGTCAGACACGGATTCTTGATTTCTTTCTAATTATAAAGATTTAGAAAATGTCCGGTTAAGATAAATCTAGTCCTCTATAGCATTTTTTTATTATAGATTTTACATATTAAAATTATTAAAAATTAAATAAATTCATAGTACCTTTAACATTTGAAAATTTCAATTTTTAGTTTTCATTTTTTTATAACTTTTTAAAATAATTTTTCATCACATAAATTAATTTATAAAATTAAATTTATTTTGTTAAGTGATTATGTGATTTAATAAGAGATAATTGACTGAATTATTAATACATACCTAATTGACAATTAAATACCATATTATATGACATGTAAGTTTCTATTTGTTTTGATAATTGCCATTACAGGACAATCACGTGGACATAAATTTGATAGATATGTGAGCATATGATTCAGTTGAATAGTAAACAAAATTACATGTATTATCATAACATTTGATATCAATCATGATTTATCATAATTCAATCAGTCATGACTTGTTACTATATATCACTGTTTAAAGAGAATGAACCTGAAGAACTAATTTATGTTGTGAAAAATTAATTAACAACTAAAAATTGACAAAAAAATTTAACAAAAAATAAAAATTGAATAGTTAAAAAGTTAAGAAACTAAAAACTTAATTAACTCTTTATTAAATATTAAAATAAATGAAAGGTCCCGTCAATAAATAAATGAAAGGTTTAGATTTTATCGGGTTTGAGAGGATATTTTTTCTTCCATTTTTGCCCCGTAAGTTAGAGTGGGTCACAAGGTAATTTGAGTCCAGTTTCGAAATCGAAATCGGCCCAGGTTGTTGGTGTGGTCTCATTTTACTTTTCTGTCCTTGGCCATCTCGCATCTGAGAGAGTTCGAGGCAGCTACTGGAGAGAGAGAGAACGAGAACGAAAACGAAAAGTGAAAACAGATCGCGCTCAACACATCACAGTAAGATAAAGAAAATTAAAATCGTGGATCGTTTGCGGAAGAGGTAAAAGAATCAAGAAGAGAAGGAGTGACCGAAGATGTTGCCCACAACTTCCAAAGGACGTTCTTCTTCTTCTTCCTCCTCCTCCTCTCGACCTAATAATCCCATGCTGCTTCCCTACCTCCGCAGAATCATCAAGGTTCCGATCTCTTCCTTTAATTTCCTCATTTCATAGATTTGCTTCCCGCTCTAATATAAGATCCAATTCTGGCTTTTATCTCTCCCTTACTTTCCGATGTCGTAAATGCCATTGCTAAAATTACCTGGCACGTAAACCAAATTTGCTAGATTAGGCTCGATTCCTGAATGTTTTGGTTCCAATTTGAATAGGTTGGATTGTATTGTTTTAATTTGATGCATTCTCCGTATAATAAGAAGACCTGTGCTGATTTGTTTCAGTTTTACTAGTCAAAATTTCTTACGTAATTCATTTGTTATTCGTTCGTTGTAGTGGCAACAAATGGATGTTGAGTATACTTTTTGGCAAATGTTTCACCTATGTACGTCGCCGAAAGTTGTGTAAGTATATGTAAATCGTCTTCCGTCCTTCCTCTGTTAGCAATGAAAATCGCGTTTCGTTACCATGATCTAACGCAGCAGCAATGCGAACCCTCTTTTATTGGACATTTGAATTGCACTGCTGCGGACACGGGCATATTCTGACTGTTATTGGTTGAGATTCTACTCAACCTTTCTATTTTGTGTGTATTTGGAATTTTCTTTTATCTGCTTCTCTGATGGAATTTTTGGTGTTCTTGATATGGAACTGCACGATGGATGTAGCTATCAGCATACTAAATATCACAAACGTAAGTCTTATGTCTCATGAATATCTTTATTCTTCTGATTTATTGGTGCACATTTTTGAACAGTTATTGGTTCAGCAATGTTTATTGAGCTCCTGTTTTACTAGACTATGTTACATTAGGCTAGTTATATGAATGTGATAAGTACTAGACACAATAAATAGTTGTTAATCTAAGTATCTTACATGTAGTACTGGTTTGGAAATGCATTTAGTAATAGGTTGTCAAACTTGAGAGTCTAAAAACACTTGCAAAGTGTCCATGATCTTGACTTGTGGATGTAATACAAAATATATTTGAAAATCTTGTCATATTAATGAGGAAGAGTACAAAGTCTGTGATTAGGAAAATAAAATAGTTTCAAACTTAGCAGAGGAAAATACAGCACAGGCAGCATAATATTGCTGAAATGCTTATCATCTTAGTCTAGAAAACAAAATAGAATGGTGGGACTTTGTAATGGTTATATCTGAAAACACACAACAGAACACATAGAGAATGTGTATTGAAGCTGGATCGAAAGAACAAATGGAATGGATGATAGGGATTAAAAAAACTCTTAAGAATAATGCTCAGATACCCCAAATTGTTAAAACTCACTGATCCAAACTAAACAACCCTAGAATCAAAAACCAATGCGAACTATTAACAAATAAAGAGACACTATAAAATATGCTGTGCTTAACAAACACCCTAGGTCTGCAGCTACCGGCCTTCCTCCAAGGAAGAAGATGGCCTTCTTTCACCAAAATTCCTCCCCCTTTGTCTGAACCCTTCCCAGCTCTATATTCATGTCCTCTCTCCAATCATGCTAGAATCCCCCTCCAACCAAAGGTTGCCACCTGTCCATTCTGTTATTGTACCCATTATGCTTTCCCCTAATTGAGAATCCTTTGTTGTCCTTTTAATAGTCATTCCTTCATTGCTCTTACTGTTTTCCAGATTACTCTTGTTCCCCCAACTTCATTCCTCTCTTTTAGCAAACACAAATAGACCTGGATTGTTTTTAAGAAATAGAATGTGAGAAACTTCTTCACAAGTCATAATAGGTCCATACTTAAAATAAATTTCTAGGTTGATGATGATACTCAATACCTCAGAGTGATTTTCTGGGTTCATTAATGAACTGCAGAAAATACTTTGATAGTGTGGCTTGCTAGGTCCCAAGGGTAAGGGTTCGCTTGTGGGAGAAAAGCATGTGTTTTTGTTTTCCTTGATGCGAAAACAATGCTTTGAAGCGGGGGAGTTCAAGATACTGTCATCATTTTGGGTAATTTGGGGAGATACTTTGCATCCTTATATCAGACTCGTGGACTCAGTACTTGATTTGTGATTATATGTGAGTTTGAGTGAATCTCAATGAGTCCAGTTGAGTCTACTTGATTCCCATACCTAGAACTGTAAACTCTTACGATTCTGCAAGCTGATTCATGAGCTTGACAACCATGACTTATGCTGAAATTACTTTTATCTTGGCCGATTTCACTTACTTGGGCTGGCAATATTTTTGCTCAAACAGAAGGGTTTATGAGCACACTTGTTCATTAACTGATATGTGTCTAATCAAACTATTTCATTACCTGTTAACGAATCTCTTTTAAATTTTATGCATGCATTATATTATAAATATATGATTATTTATAATGATTGACAGATACAACCAATTATAGGATAAAATTTAATAATTTCGCAGTTCACCTTTCTTTCTAGTAAAAGTGCATTTAAACTCGGCAGTTAAATGTAAATCTTTTCAAAGTGAGCTTCTTTTGAGGATGAGCCATGAAGAAATTTGGCTTATTTGGTAACACATAATGATGCAAATGTTTCAGGAAATAAAACTGTAGGTTTATTATATAGTTAATGGCTTTTTAGTTTTCAAATTAGGAAATTTCATTTGATGATTTCAAAAAATTGATTTCCTTATTCTTCTTCTTTGATATTAGAAACCAAGAATCAATGGGCACGTGATGACCCTGCATTTGTTGTGATCTGCAGTCTTCTTTTGGCAGTTGCAACTTTGGCTTATTGTGCAGCGTAAGTTTTTCTTACATTTTGAAGGTAGTGTTTTGATGACAGGTGGCACTTTGTAGACGACCAGCTAAAATTCACTTTACTTTTGTAAAACAGAATGAATAAGCCAATGCAACTAATCACTAACGTAAAATCCTTGTATTTCATCTATTTAGCCAAATGATGATCATTTTTGAAAACTTCCCTTATAGAAACAGGCTATTGCACTTCCGTATGTATGAATTTTATTAAACCATTAATAGTGAACCAAAGTAGTAGTGTCATTGGATTTGGATAATTCGTTAGATACATTTAGTTTATATTTTTTCCCTCTTGGCCTCTACTAACTTTTTTGTATTGCTTTATTTTCCCATTTTTTTTTCAGGTATGACCATAGTACTGCACATACACTTCTTGTTATCTTCTCAGTGTTGCTTTTCCACTTTTTATTGACCGGTGTATTTCTAGCAACTTTTTGTTGGTAAGGCTACTTCCCTAGTAAATATTACACCCTCTTTTTTTTAATCACTTGATCTTGATACCGATGCTGGTGCATATTATTTACCCCTGTAATCTCCAGGTTCCTGACTAATGCTTATCTACGAGAAGAAGCTCCCAATAGTTATGTGGTTGAACAGCGTGTTGAATGGTAAGTTCACGAATTTTCTTGCCTGTTTCACACGTGCTAATTTAGTTGATTGCTTCTTCAATTCTGAGAACATTTCTAATATTTGGATTTTGACATTGCTCCGTTAAAATGGTTGATCAATTGATAAGCATGGAATTGAATTCAGCGCCCTTAGAATTTTGTTGACTATATTCGTATAGCTAATTATATTTTTTTGGTTTTTCATGGAAGGATGTATGCATTTGATGTGCACTGCAACTCTTTCTTCCCATTGTTTGTTTTGCTTTATGGTAATTTCTGACTCCTTGATTAGTATGAACTCTGTTATGATATAGGAAGCTACAATATCTTGCATTAGATTGGTACTGATGTCTGGTCCTTTGGCAGTGATCCATTATTTTCTATCTCCTCTATTGGTAGCTCATGGTTTCATTCCAGTATTGTTGTCAAATCTGCTATTCATGGTGGGCGCTTCATACTATCATTATCTAAATTTCTTAGGTTATGATGGTAATTCTCTCTCTCTCTCTCTCTCTCTCATTATTTATATATAGAAAGGAGGGATCAACTTACACCAGCATTAGTTACACCCACTCTTAAACTGTTCAATAACTCTTTACTAGATAATTTTATCCCAAAACTCAAATCTGATTAAAACTTAAAAGTTTCCGTTATATAAATCTTATATGCACAATTTTATATTAATTCAAAATTAACATAATATATACGTTTAAATGTGTGAAATAAGAACCACTTAATTATCTTCTTATTACTATTCAGTTTTTATAAGATTTAACATAGATGTATATACTATATGTACAGGATCCTTTTAACTACTTCACAAAAATTTAAGTATTTAGTTAATTTAGTTATCGGTATTAAATGTGTCAACAATTTGTATAATTTTTCCATGATTACCTTTAAAACCATTGTGATTCCCTTAATCTATTTCCACCTAACTAATGCATCCCCACGTAAGAGGATTTTTGTAAAATAAATAAATAATCTATCAATGCAGTACACAATTTGGAGGGAATCTTCTAAAAATAATCAAGACAAACTTCCGTAAAGGTTCTTATAAAAAGTACCAGTGAAAGCAGTTGCAATTCAACAGTTGGATTAGTGAAAATTACATTTATACAAGTTATTGATAAAGAATGAGTGTAACTTATATTGGTGCAAGTTAATCTCTCCTCATTTAGAATTTAGATCAGTTCATAATATTTTTAGTATAGTTTACTTGGTGTATGTATGATTGTTTGTCTGGAAAAGTGTCTTATGGCTATAGAGCTGGTCCCTCTACTTAAAATCTTTGTAAATCTGTTCATTTGCATTGAATCTGTTTTAGTTGTTGCCAACTGTAATGTAGAAGTGTCAGTTATTATGCTTTCTTGAATATTTGCAGCAAGCACCCTTGTTATGTTTTTTAATCTAAAGTCCCTTTTGTATGATGTGGAGGACAAATTCATTAGATGTGGGTTTGTTGGATGTAATGGTCAACATAGTGAATAAATGTACATTAAAATGTTTTTGGTAAACGTGTTTCCCAAGTATGTATAACTCTGAAGTTACAAGTTTTTGTTTTGAATCTGTGGGAAATGTGAATACCGTTGAATTAATTTGATTAACATTTCTGGCTATAGTTCTGCCCTTTTTGGAGAGGACCACCTTTTTCCTGTACCCAATTGGCATCGTAATTGTCCTTTCTCCCATTTGTAAGTATTAACTGTGCCTACGTTTCTGTTTTTCAAGATGGGTTAATATTGCATCTGAACCCAATTTCTGATTTGCAGTGATTTTAAGTGGATTCAATCCTTCTAGATACTTTATGAACATGTACTTCAGTCGACAAATATGATCATTCCAGCTAAAACTTTTGACCTATCGGTGTCCTTGAGGTTATAGAGTATTCAGAGAACTATAGCATGAGAAGGCTTTAATGGATGTTTGATTGTTTGTTTGAAGAATGCAATGACCCAGCAATGCCTCATTTTAGGCCTTCTAATACTACTACTACCACCAATCGAAGTTGGACTGTAGACAGTCCGGGTAGTCGGTGTATTTTTTACAGTTATTAGATAGAATATTTGTTCAAATGAATATACTCATTGTAATGATTTTTCTTTGTCAATCCGGTAGCTTTCCTCCCGACAAAGAGCAATTTCTATTGATATATTCTTTCATGTGGCTAGATACTTACTCTCCAAATGAAAGGTTGTCGCCTTTACATGTGACCCAGTCACTAATGGAGTCATTGTTAGTTTGTTTGAGTGTCATTAGAAGCCACTCAAGCTAGGTATAAGAGTCAGCGAGGAGCTAATCAAAGACAGGGGAGGGGGCTTTTTATATGTATGATAAGTGATCGTTTTGTATTTGATCTGACTGAATATTGCTTCTCTCTAAGGTGAGGAGTTTGGTGGTTTGATTGCATGGAAGAAAGTAGGAGGTACTTATCAAAGTATTGTTAAGTCAATGTTTAAAACCAGTAGCGTGACAAGATGTGTTTACCTAACGTCGGACATGTGGTCTATTTATTGGATTTGGATGTGAGGAGGCTTCTCATTAAGATAGTTGAGCCTTTTTATTTAGTAATCTCGAAAGGTGCAGGAGCGGCTTAACTAAATGTCTTAAGAGTTCTTGACATGTATAGTATTGGTAAGTGACAAGGATCTTTGCATTGGGCATAGGGAGTATTGTGGGGCATAGGTAAAATAGCTTAGTGAGCCTCTGATGGCTCCTTTGCCTCGAAATGATTTGGGCATGATAGTGTGCTCCCGACGGATTCTATTGGATTGGGTTTAGTGATATAGAACCGGAATAGCATTCAAAAGCTGTAAAATAAATAAATAAATAAATAAATAAAGGACAATGACAATGATAGAATTAGAATATAAGCTACTGCTGAAGGCGGTCTTGTTGCCTCAACTGAAGTTGAAAACTATTAGGTTGTTCTAGAGCGGATGCTGACCAAAAAATGGCTTCCAATACCACGAACTCAATCATAAGAAGTAATGTTTTTCGTAAAATAATGAGATAACATTTATTGACCCTTTTCAGTTCTGTAGAATATTTAGAAAAATAGAAAGAAAGAAAGAAAAAAACTGTGGAGATGGAATTTCAAGGTCTCCAGGGTTAGAGCGACATGGGTAAACTCTTTCATATATAGGGGGTAAAACAAAAATGTGTGAGAAGTAGCTTTAAAAAATGGAAAATTCTTCATCCTCCGAACGCAACCTCCGAAATATATTCCGAATGTATAAAAAAATAATTTAAATTATAAAATATTAAATTAAATAATTATTTTATAATAAATTTATTAAAAAATATAAATTTTTTAAAATTTCGGACGATGATTCGTTTCATTTTTCGGAACGTGTAGCAATCCTCTTGAAAAAATAGGATAGACAGCGAGGTTGTGGTGCTGGGTCTTAATCATCTGACGCTGACGGTACTTAGATAGAAAAATACAACGCCAGATGTCCTTTTTCCTAACACATGATAACCAATTTCAGATGGCACACTCAGAATATGCGATATGAACCAAACGAGTCCTAGCATGGCATGTGGATTGTGGACCGCTGCCCAATCTCTATTTAAAGTGATGTGTTGATGTTGCTACACTTCAAAGTAAATAAATAAAAATATGATAATTGTACTAAAAAAAATACTAGCAGTGTTAAAAAGACTATTTTCAACTGAATTATTAGTGAACTGAATTACTCTATAAAAATTGAGCCACTAAAAATAAACTAAACTGACCTTTTTTCAAGTTCAGTTTATAAATCCCAACTGTATTTGTTAGTTTAGTCAACTCTCACGTGACTTATATATATATAAATCCAAACGTAAATAAGGATGAATTATAAAAATTAATTAACATAAAATTGAAATTAAGATATTTACATGTAAAAATAGTAAAGTTTAAGAATCAATTATAATTAAAAATAAAATTTAAGAGTGAATTAAGATAAAATTAAAGTTCACAATATCTATTCGTAAGAAATAAAATTTATAGAAGTTAACTGTTTTTTTTCCCTTAAAAATGTATTCTCTTAATTTTTCTTCTACTTTCCTTTTTTTTTGTCAATTATACATTAACATCCTATCTAATTGTTAACTAATTTATACATTAACAACTTTAAATAACTATTCCTTTCAGCTAAAAAAAAAATTAAACGACTATTAAAAAATGGAGGTAATATTAAGCAATCACAATTTTCATTCTACTTTCTACTTACTCCTTTTGTTGTAAGAAATTAGTTGTTTTTTTCATAGATATTTTAGAAAAATTTGGTCAATATACTACCTCTGCTCATTTTCAATAGTTGTTTAAGGTCTTATGTACAAATCAAGGAATGTAATAAATTTTTTAGGTTTTCCATTAAATGATTTTGATCCTTTTTATTATACACTTTAATTTTTACTTTGGAATAAATGTTTATTAATTGTCAATGTGCAAATTAATTAAAAATTACTTCCTACACTCTATTATAGTTTTAACATTTGAAAAATATCCCAAAATAAATAATGTTCTCAATTTTTAATATAATATTAATTAATATTTTTTAATTTACTCTTTCATAAATTATTCAACTAATACAGTTAAAATTAATGTATTTATAATATTTTAATAAAGCTTATAAAAAATGATACATTTAATTTTGTTTTTAATGTGTGTAAAAATTTTAAGCGATAGGCATTGTGGGGATGGAAGAAACAAAATTTTACTAAAAAATGTAACTATTAAAACAAAGGAACGGATGGAAATTGGAATACTATTTAGGCATCTAGAACGCTGGGGGCCTAAACTGATATACTCAGCCTAACTTAATTGAAGATTGGTCACACTTCCCAAAGTCACAACGGGGGCCCGCACCCCTAAGCTTACGAAGAATATGAAATTAAGATGATATACGTGTGTGGCTGAGAAGGCGTATGAATAAGAGAATGTCTCTATTTCAAAGATTAGCAATCCCCAGTAGGGTCCCCCACGCCCACACAAGTCACAACACTTCCCTCAAAAAAGTTGGTAACCCACTCTATCCCTTTCTTTTTTCTTTCCTTAAAATTAAAATGGTGAAAGAAATAATATCATTGTACGCACTACGCAACAAAACAAAACGATACAAGTTTGGTAGCTTTTACTTTCCACAGTATAAAATATTCAACAGCGGCGTGAAACCAAAACAGGGAAAATAGACCACTTTTTAGTAAACAAACACGACTTTAGTTTGTCAACAATAGATTCTTGATGATGTTTTCTACTCATCCACTAGTTTGCTTCCTTTGACATCCACCACAAACCTATATCTCACGTCGTTCTTCTCCAACCTCTCCAATGCTTTGTTAACGTAATCCATTTTTACCATTTCAATCATAGAACGCAGACCCTTCTCTTTCCAGAACTCCAACATCTCCTCTGTCTCCTTTATGCTCCCAATGAAGCTTCCAGTGATTGATTTCCTCCCTGCACAACACCAATACACATGATTCAACTTGTACATTTTTTTCAAATACCTTTTTTACCCTATGAAAAAGTTACCTAGCATAACCATGGGGCTAACGAATTGCAAAGGCGTGTTGATGACCCCCATCAAGATCAACTTGCCATCAAGTTTTAGCAATGAGAGATAAGGCTCAAGAGGGTGACCCACAGGCACTGTGTCAATTATGTAGTCAAGTGAATCACCAGCTTCCTGCATGGCAGTGGCATCAGAGCTAACAAGATATTGATCTGCTCCAAGGTGTTCTAGGGCCTCCTGTTTCTTCTTATCAGAAGAGCTTATCACACTCACATGATGCCCAAGTGCCTTTGCTATTTTCACCCCCATGTGCCCCACTCCTCCAAGGCCCAATATTCCACCCCTAAGCCCACTTCCTCTCAGCCCAAAATGTGCCAACGGACTGTACACAGTCACACCCGCACACAACAACGGTGCCACTTGCTCCGGTTCCATACCCTCTGGTATTTTCACCACAAACCTAACATACATAATCAAGTTAATTACAATATATTGTGGTCCAATTATAAATTCGTCTTTATAATATATCATGGGATAGTTTTTAAAAATTGATTCAACATGTATAGAAATTAAACTTGATAATTACTTTTGCTCAACGATCATGGTTTCGGCAAAACCACCCTGGGTGGGCTTTCCATCGATATAAACATCGTTGTAAGACCAGATCTTCTTGTTGCAGTATTGCTCAATGTCTGATTGACATGGCCTGCAGTTTTTGCAGGAACCTACCAAGAGTCCAACCCCAACAATTTCTCCCACTTTGAACCTGCTAACGTTAGGCCCCACCTCGAGTACCTCGCCAACCACTTCATGTCTGAAACAATACAAAACAAACATCGTTGGTCACAACAAAAAAACCACAACATAGAGAGAAAAATAACCACGATGAAGGAGAAAGTACCCAGGAACCATGGGATAGTTGGACATGCCAAGATCGTTCTTAATCTGGTGGAGATCGGAATGGCAAATTCCACAGTAGTGAACTTTGATGTAAACATCATCAGGGCCTGTGTTTCTGCATGGGTTTTTTTTACACATAATAAATGCTATACTTGGTAAGAACCACGTATGAAAGTTGAAAGATATGTAAAATTAGAAAGTTGGGTTGTAAAAATTAAAATTGAAACAATTTAAGATTACCTTAAAGTGAAGGTGTATGGGGAGAGAATCCCTGAAGGGTCTGTTGCTGCCCATCCTACTGTTGTTCTTTCAGATTCAATGCTACCCATTTTTTTTTATCTCTTTGAGAATGAAAGGATGAAGAGAATAGAGGATTTGGTAAAAGGAGTGAGGAGAAAGGTGAACTGTAGGAGTGGGCTTAATTGTTGGGAAGATGAGTGTATATATATAATATAAAAGTCTAACAACTTAGCAATCACTATGGAGTGTGGGTCCTTTGCGCGGTAGGTGGATGAAGATGCCTTTTATCCGACACGTTATCGTGTAATCTTCTGCATCATCTCTACCTTAGATTTATGAAAGTGTTTACTAAGTAGTCTTATCTAATGGTCACGATTCTCTTTCAAGAATACTTTCCATGTGTGCTTAACAAACTACCCTTTGTTCCGCTGCTTTTCTTCTACGTTTTCATTTTTTTAACATCCACGCATGTACCATCTACTTTGATTGATCTCAGTTTTTTTTTTTTTTTACTGAATCTCAAGTTTATTTAGTGTGTGTTTGGTTTGAATTTGTAAACGTAATTCTTGACTCTCTCCACGTTTTGAATTAAATTTACGTGGAAGTTGAAATTTTTTACTTCCTGAAAACGTGAATTTTTACGTTTAGACTCGGAAGCAAACACGCTATTAATGAAGTGCAAACTAAGCGATTTGGTCAAGTCCAATATGACGTTATGTTATTTGGATATTTGACTCAGTCTTTGTAATAAAAATAATGCTACTCTATTTAATTATAAGAAATATATAGTAATTTTGAGATGGATTAGTTATTAACCTTTTTTTAATAAAATTAGTTTTTTTGACTTGATAAGTTTTTTTAAAAAATAATAAAAGGGTAAAATCAAATTATTAATTTTTTTTTATATTTTATATCACATGATAAAATTTATTGGTAACATTATAACATACTCAAATATCTGAACTCACATGTAATAGAAAACAAAAAGATGATCGGGAGAGAAGAAGGAAAGGAATAATATGAGAATGAATATTTCTCTCTCACTATGAAACCAATACAAAAGGTCTGAATATATACAAGCAGTACACCTTTTCTAGGCTTAACTGTAAAGCAAAATATCAAAGCAATGAGCTAATAAAAATAAGACACCTATACAAAAAGATCAAGAAAGAATAAAAAAAGATCACAACTTTTTTTTATCAGAAAAGACAAAATAGCAGAATTGCTATTAGCTTCCTTCTAGAAGCTTGTATCCATATCCTTTGATAACATGTAAGTGGAAGTATTTATGATAATTAACAACACAATCATACTGTTTGGTGGAAAATAAAAATATCTTTTTGAATTAGGTATAATATCATTAAATATAGTTATTACTTATAGAATTTATTTAAAATACATTTTGCAAATAAAGTTAAAATATATTATATTATTATTAACTAATTTAACTTTTTTAATTGATCTTAATGAATTAATTATTTACATTTTATATAAAAATGTAACGATACTATAATATAAGAACGTACAGTTGAATACAGATACTATTTATATCGTCGTCTAAAGATGTTAATGAGTCCATTTGTTTTAATAAAATTAAACAATGTTGTTTTAATAAAATTTACAGTTGCTTGTTTTTATTCATTTGTCTAAATTGCTTTAAAAGAAAAATGATTTTTATTTTTTAAGAAACAATTCATGTCTAATTTTTAAAAGTATTATTTTTAAAAAGTATTTTTTTAATCATTCTTTTTAAACAAACTAGACCAACATCACTATTATAACTTATCACAAAAACAAATTTTTCTCAATTTGTGACAAAGGAAAATGTATATTTTTTATTTTAGTGTGGTTAGGATTTGTACTTCTTATTTTTATATTAATTAAATTATAGATTGAAGTATTCATCAATTTTATTAATAATTAATTTTAACCAAAAAACTTAGTTAATTACTTATAAAAATATATTTTCTCAGCTACTTACAAAACTCAAATATTATGTTGTATTTAAAAGGTTTGAGCTCTTGTTTCTACTCAAACTAGCATAATATTATTTTGTAATTGTTAATTTAAAACAATTAAAGAAATATTATATTTAATCCACGGCTTAATATGAATATGTTAAATGTAAGAAAAAATTTAAATGAAACTTGTATATATTCAATTTTTAATATTAATTGATTAAGTTATATTCATGCTACAAGTTACTAAATAAAAGCCCTTGTTTTTCTTAAACAAAATATAAACAACGGAAGAATTTATTTTCAAGTTATTTAAATTTATCTTATAACACTAACATTTGTGTAAGTGTTTCAAAAAGTAACTTTATGATTTGCTCAATAACTAATTATAATTTATTTAAATAAAATTTTCGAAATCGCTTATAAAAATAATTTATTTTTCATATAAAAATATTTTTCTCTTCAATTATAAAAATAACTTATGCACGAATACTTTAACATTTGGATTGTGTTTGGATACTTTTTACACATATACTTATAAAATAAGAAAATAAAATAAATTGACGCTAAAAATTAATGTATATGCTTCAGTTTCAAGTTTTATGAGAAGTTAAATGAAAAAAAAAACTTTTATAAAAGTATGTTAAGTGTTTAGGTTTTTAGGAATATGAAAAAAGTATAATTCATTTTACATCCTTATTTTTAATCTTTATAAATATTTATATATTATATTTAATAAATATTTAACTAATTTTATCTAATTATGTGCTAATAAATGAATGGCAAAATATATTTTTTATTCGTCATATTATTTATTTTAAATTCAATTTACTTTTGTCTGGTTTTTATTTTCTTTGGAGCTGGAGCAGCATTGCGTCATCCATACGTCGTTGATTTTGTCAACGTGTTTAGAAGATTTTCCCAAATGCCAAAGAAAATTGCATTCCTGTCGCAATTATACAGTAGGTGAACTATTCAAAACCAGAATAAAATATTAGTTAAAGATTTTTTTATCTTATGAGTTTCTAATTTAATATAATTGTTCTTAAACTAATATTCTAGCATACTGATAAAAAAAAATTGACCGGTAAAATTAATATTTTAACACGTACAAAATATAAGATAAACATTTTATATTTTTTTTTATAAAATAAATAATTTGTTTTAATATAATTTTATTTTTAATTATATAAAAATATATTTAAATTTAAAATGAAACTTTTTTTTAATAAAAATACTTTATTCGAAGAGAATTAATAAAAGATACTCTCGTCAAAAAATAATTCTTAAAATCATTTTTTGTAAAATAACTTTTTTATTTATATAGAGAGATTTAAAATTTATTTACTTAAATAAAAAATACTATTACATTATAATATAGAATATATTATAATATAAAAATACTGTTCTATTAGATTATATAGAGTGGGATTGTTCAGTGGTTGACTTCCTTTTAAAAACCTAATACTTAAAGAAATTTAAATATAATTATATTCATACAAATGACATGTTAGTCTATAATATATAATTAAATGTAAAAAAAAAATTGTTCTGTTAACAATAAAGAATAGTAAAATTAAGCAATTTTTTTTATTTAATTATGATAATAATTCGAGTACTGAAAATATAAAATAAATTTAAAAAGTATATTTAACATTATTTTTTGAATCAAGTTATAAGCATTTATTTGTCTTTGTATTAAGAATTCTTATTTAATTCACTTTAAGTCATGTTGAAGAGGTAAAATTTTCTCCCTCTCTCTCATTTTTTATTTACCAGTCTAAAATTCAAAATTTCACTTGAATCACCTAGATGTTGGTTGTTGTCACTTTGATAATGATGAGTGCCATAATTTAATAAACATCAAGATAAAAGAAGATAGAATGATAATTTAATAATTTGATTGATTTAGTTTATGAAAGCCAATAGATAATTGTAACACCGGTAAGGGTACACAAATAAATAGAAATAGTGTACTAATTGATAAAGACTAAAATGTAAAAATGGCACTTAACATGAACAAAACCTTAGCCTTAAGGGTAGAAAGCAAAATGGAAGTTGGAGTCTTTGACAACACTGCTGGCAACGATACTTATGGGACCAGTTGCACTTCCACATGACCACGGCCTACGCACTCCCCACTCCCCAACATACCATAATCAAAATATAATCATAGCGTGTCATTGCATTCGCATTTAAAACTTAAAAAAACTCGTTTAACGTGAAAGTTATAATTTTTTACTTTTAGTTAAACGTAATTTTTCACGCTTCAAACATGAATGCAAACATACATACAAATATACATAGTACACTTTGTTTTTTTTTTCGTCTTTCAAATATATATCAACAACTTAGGATTAGTTTAATGTATAGCAGACTGGGGTGGTCACGGTTGTACGAGAAGCTAATGAATCCGAATCATTTAAATCGAAAAATTCAGATCGAGTTAAATTATTCACTTAAATGTGATTGAAAAATACAAATTCCATAAACTTAGATTAAATTAAGAATTTTACGTTGAAAATTCAATCTAATCCGTAACCATCAATTATTATATATTATATTTTTTAATTATATTTTTATAAAAAAAAAACCTTAAGAATTTATTAGTAATAGAGATTCAGAATTTGAATTAAAAATTCAACTCATTTTTTCTTTCATTCTTAATATTATAACACTTTAATCTACATTCTACGATTACAGTTGACGAATTTGGAGTGATATATTTAGTGTTTATTTTAGGATGTTGGCTGTGTTTTAAATTTCTAATGTTTAATTGTGTAGTTCATAGGCTTTTTTAATTTATTTATTTTTACATTGTTCATAGACTTTAAGAAGTATGTATTTAAAGCCTAAAATAAATAAATTCTAAAAATGTTGGCTCTTTTCTAAAGTTAGCAGTAAATATTTAGTTAAATTATATTTTTAGTCCTTTTATTTTTTGTCGATATGTAATTTTAGTTTTTTTATATTTTAAAATAGAAATATTTAATTTTATTATTTTTAAAAATATAAAATTTTGGTCTTACTATCAATTTGATATTTGTTAATCATTAAATTTTAACGTTATTCAGTGACATGTCACCACTTAAATAACATGATATTTAACGACATGACATATAAAAATAAAAATTAAAAAAATAATATGCAAAAAATTCATTATTTGTATTTATTTTAACGAGTGATTAATATTTATTTTATTAATAAATATTATTTACATATTTTTTATG